CCGCATTACTTTTTGTTGTTATTACATTGAAATGTTAAGGTTTGATTGGTTGGTTCGCTCACATAGGAGGGTAAGTGTGGGTGCCAGTCGCGGCTCGGATTTGGGTCATGACAATAAGCCTTTTCGAATTAAAAGAATCATCCTTAGTAAAATAGTGTTTTTTTCTAAAAATATTTATTTGACAAAAGACATTTGACTCATGATTAAGTATTAATAGAGACATTTTTGTAATCAAACTATTGTCAGGAAGCGCATTTTCAAACTGAACTATTAGCTGAGAACAATTTTCATTAAATTTCATGTGGTGTCGGTGTTTTTTTTAAAAAAAAAAATCCTTTTCCAAATCAAAAGGAAAAAACCTCAAACAAAATGAAGATTCATACCTTAGAACTCAAAGTAACCATCCAACATGTGTTGTCAAAGCTTATTGATAACTTCATTCCATTACTTATCTCAAGTCTTCCCTTTGTCTTCACTCAAAGAACTCATGAAGATTCTAATCAAACCTATTAATTAGGCAAAATCAGTTAGTTAGTTATTCCATCCAAAAACAAAATGTCTGAGCCAGTTGATGATATGCCTATTCAACCCAAAAACACTCCAATTACTCAATCTTCATCACATTCAAACGGATCATTTGGCACAGTTTTCATTATCCTTGCTGTGATTTTAGTTATATCTCTTATTTCTTGTGTAATTGAACGTATTTGTAACAAAAGAAGAAATGGAGATCATCATCACCACTCACCTAAACAACGCCATGAAATTCATACTAAAGGTAGAGAAGGCCATCATGATATAGAATATGGTAGCGATAATAAGAGAATTCCAAATTCAAAAGTGGCTGCATCTAATGGAGATCATTCAAATATTCCTACTAGTTCTATGTCATTTGACGATATTGGACCTCATGGTAAAGGAGGGGTGAGGTTTGCCGAAGATCATTAGAATTTACGAGTTCTAATGTGGTTGTAAATAAAAATATATTTAGTCCATTAACAATGTTTGTATTTACTTTTTGAGATTCAAGTATGAAAATGTCTCTAAATAAGTGTATAATTACCAAAATTACAGTAACTACTTAATTATTGTAACTACAACTAGAATAACTAACCAATTAATACTCTAATATGTCCAACTCATGATTCAATTTTAAAGGGGTTAGATTATGATGCATTATTAGTGTAATAACTTGATCATAATTTTTTAGAATGAACAGAATACGGAGACAATTTTGAAATGATCAGTATCAAACAGTGGCATAGTCAGAAAATTTTCGAAAAGTGTTCAAGAATTATATCAATTAAAAAAATGATGAATGGGTATATTGAAATTTTTTAAATTAAACGATGTAATATTAAAAATTAAATTTCTTAATGAATAATAAATGTACAAAAAAAAATTTAAAGTTAAACTTCATAATATTTAATTCAGAAAAGGGTCTAAAATACCCTTATAGTATTAGAATTGGTACAAAAATACCCCTCGTTTATCTTTTGACCTTAAAATACCCTGGGGTTAACCTTTAGGGACCTATTTTGCCCTTTTGGCTAACAGACTACTAAGTCAATATATTTAATTATTTCATTTATTACGTGAAATATTGTAATTGGTTAAAAATTTAATTAATTAAAATCTAATTAGTTTGATCCAAACCACCCTATCCACCCGAATCGACCCGACCCATCTTTCAAAATACCCAACCCATCCAAATAAAATATCCATTACCCATTTCTTTAAAAAAAAAATCACCCAACATCATCAGTTCTTGGAGCTCTCTTGAAGTTCATCTTCTTCATCAGATTGTATACTCTCAGAAGGGGTATCAAAAGCATCAAAGGACTTGATGTACTTCCCATTTGGTTGGGGTTCTCGGATATGCCTTGGAATGAATGTTTCGATGATTCAAGGAAAGCTTGTTTTGGCTAAAATCTTACAGAACTACTCATTTGAGCTTTCCCCATCCTATGCTCATGGTCCAACAATGCCAGCTCTTGTTCTACAACCACAATATGGTGCTCCTATGATTGTTCCTTTTGGCCAGCCTTCCGTAGCAAATTCCACACTAATGGAGACAACAACACAAATCATGAGGATAATGAGAGTGATATCTTGCAAAGCCTCCCAGAAAACTTAACAAATCTGATGAAGAAGATGAACTCCAAGAGAGCTCCAAGAACTGTTGATGTTGGGGGAATTTTTTTTTTTAAAGAAATGAGTAATGGATATTTTATTTGGATGGGTTGGGTATTTTGAAAGATGGGTCGGGTCGATCCGGGTGGATAGGGTGGTTTGGATCAAATTAATTAGATTTTAATTAATTAAATTTTTAACCAATTACAACATGCCACGTAATGAATGAAATAATTAAATATATTGACTTAGTAGTCTGTTAGCCAAAAGGGCAAAATAGGTCCCTAAAGATTAACCACAAGGGTATTTTAAGGCCAAAAGATAAACGAGGGGTATTTTTGTACCAATTCTAATATTATAAGGGTATTTTAGACCCTTCTCCGTATTTAATTTGAATGTGTATATTTAGTTTAATATAACTTGATTAGACGAAAGAAAAAAACAAGAAAAAAACGAGAAAATTCAAATTAGAATGACATTATTTTACGCTTCAAACAACGAGGACAGTAAAACGAGACATATATAATAAAGAGTACAATCAACAAGTTTTTTAAAATAGAATTCTACATGAATCTTTTTTTGCGTTTTGTCGTTTTATATAAAATTTCAGGGTTATTTATTAACTTAAATTAAATAAGAAGTTAAGTTTTATTTAAAATTTTATTAAAAGATAAAGTAAAATCAATTAAAATTCTGATTGGCTGCTACATTTTTAATCTTTTTTTCTTAAATTCTTAAGTTGTAAACTTGTATCTAATTAAGGATTATTTTATCAAATAATATTAATTTTGACTAATTAGTAATAATAGATTTATTAACTATTATATCGATTTAAACAGTAACTAACTAAGGAAACTCTTTTTGAAGTATAAAAAATAGCATAAAGTAAAACTCTTTTTAAAATATATATATAAAAAAAATAACATAAGACAAAAAGTATTATCGGTGATAATCGAACTTTGCGTCATTGAGGAGCACCACTGCGCGCAACTTCGCCAGCCCCAAGAACCACTGGGCTGTACAAACTTTACGATTTTAAAGATTTCAAAACATATTAACTAGTTATTTAAAATATCATTTTATTTATATATATGATATAATTTTTTGATGAAAAATATTTGATAACACCTGATACAACTTTAGCTCTGCCCCCGATATCAAATATCAATAGCAAGGAGACAACACAAATATGTACTGTACCAAGGAATTGGCAACATCTTGAGGTGTGTGTGCATTGCCATATATAATTATAATATTATAATTTCTAAATTTTCTTTTATCATTTTGAAAAACTATAGAAATTCCCTTTTTCCTTCTTTCTTCTAATTCCAAACGAATTTCTCTTATTATGAACCATGCTCATAATTATTTCTCTGATATCTAATTATGATAATTTTTTAATATATTTTAATACCCGATGCATACACCTACAATTATTAATCTGAAAGAATATATATATATATTTGAAATCAGAATAGAGATTGATATATTCGATAATAAAGAAATTTATTCGACGCAATAAATCTTATGTAATATATTATTTATAACGTATTTAACAACAAAAGAATATGTACGTGAGCGATAGAAAATAAGAAATTTATGTAATTAAAAAAACTTTGAAATAAAATATAATTAGCCTTCAAATATATAAAATGTCTGTCTAAAATAAATCATATAAAATATAAAAAAGCATTTTTTTATGTGTCGAAATTTTCACTTGTCGTGATATCATCTCATTTTCAACTATTGTCTTTTTCAATATTTTCAAACCATAAAGAACTTGAAGACGGCAACAATCAACCCACCCAAAATAATAAAAACAAAAAGGACGAAAAATATAAGAGTTGGAAATTTTAATATCCTAAAATTAAAAGGAAAGAGAAATTGGTATTAATAACTTTTGAGTATCCATAAATATATATCTTATAAAGAAAGATTTACTATAAAATAGTGTTCTCAAAGGTACTTTATGGTGAGGTGTATCAGAAAAGTCTTGGGCTATATATTTATAGGACGTATACACAAACGTATGTATCGAACGTATACGTAAATTTAGATTTTTATTGTTTTAAAATATTTTTGATATATATATATATTATTTTTTTATGTAATTATTTTTCAGGTGATAGCGATTTTATCTTAAATATATAAAGCTAACTCTAATTAAAAAGATAATAGTCGTAAATAATTTGAAGCTGATTGTGCTTCAAACTGATAGGACAGAGATTTCTTGGTACTATATTAGACAACTTTATTCATTTTAAGTGATTATTCTTACTCTTTTTGCCTTCTTTTTAGAGTTGAGAATGAGAGGAGCTTCGGGTGAGGCTGTTACTTTAGTAATTTAACAATTTATGTGTCAATTATATTTTTTCTTGTAATATTAAACTGCAGCTTTTGTTTTTCTTCTTCAGATGGCCACGTGTGCCTTATAATAAATTTCATTCACCTTTTTTGATGTATTAGTTTATTACTTGCATATTTTATTTTATTATATGTTTCTAAATTCTACCACAGTAGATGGTATCAACACGTATGTCTTTCTGTTATGATTCGAACTATGTGATTGACACTTATATTAATTTTTCCATGAAAGAATCACTATTATAATTCAAAATCAAGCAATAAAATAATATTAAGATATTAAAATTATAAAAGCAAGTTAATAACTAAATACGAAGTTTTCATAAATTTCAATAAGGATTCTACATTAAGATAATTAGGATCTATAACATAATGTTTGAAACTTCTTAACTTTTAAAATTATTCAAAATAAATTCAACATATTATTTCAAAATATCTGTAAAGTTTTACCTCTCTTCTTATATTTAAAAATTTAATTTTTTTTCAAATTTCTTTTTCTCTCTTCTTCCTTCTTTCTTTCTCTTTTCAGATTTCATCTTTCCTCTTGTTCTTTTTTTTCATTTCTTTTTCTCTTCTTCCATTTACTTGTTATTTTTGTTGTTGCTATTATTATCGTTATCATTCATTATTTTAATCACATTTTTCTTTTTCTATTGTTGCAGATTTCATCTTTCCTCTTGTTCTTTTTTTTCATTTCTTTTTCTCTTCTTCCATTTACTTGTTATTTTTGTTGTTGCTATTATTATCGTTATCATTCATTATTTTAATCACATTTTTCTTTTTCTATTGTTGGTCTTCAATATTAAACTACAACTTCAGTATTTTAATTTTTTCCTGATGACCACGTGTGTCTTATCATAAATTTCTTTCAACTTTCTTTAGTTGAAAATTTTGTTAAATTTGATGCATTATTTATTAGTTGCTTTATTTTATTTTTATGTTTCGACATTCTATCGATGTAGAAGTTTGTGTAGATGGTATCAACATGCTTTTTTTTGTAATTAGTTTGATTTATGAAGGGTCTTTTGGTCATGTCAGCTCACAACATTCTTTTCTTTTTTCTCGACATGTTCAACTAGCCACTGTTGTGCTGTACATGGCGTAGATGTTTTTTTTTTACCTTTCTCTCATATATAATCTATTCATGATGGATAGAGAAACTCTTCAGTTCTCATATAAATTAAAACCAACAAAAGCAGAGTAATTGAGGAGGAGCTGACAAAAAAGTGTTGAAAAAAATATATTTTGACCAAGTCAACTTTTTTACTTAGTGATTAAGATAATTATGGACTAAAATTTAATAATTAAAACATCTAAAATTTTAAAAATATTCAATTTCTAATTTCAAAATATTTGAGAAGTTTTCTCACTCTTCTTATATTTCAAAATTTAAAATCTCTTTTAAGATTTCTTTTTCTCTCTTCTTCCTTCTTTCTTTCTCTTTCCAGAATTCTTCTTTCCTCCTCATCTTCTTCTTTTCTTTTTCTCTTCTTCCATTTATTTGTTCTCTTTATTGTTGCTATCATTATCATTGTCATTCATTTTTTTATCACATTTTTTTTCTTTTTTGTTCTATTTCACAAAATAATTTGCTTTAATTTTAGAACTTTTTAATTTGAAGTCATTGATTTATTTTTTTTGGTAGAAAATCAAGTAATAACTGATGTTTTCGCAATA